GAGCAGCTCGGAGGAGTCAGGACGGGTTTGTGAAGGGGGAGGGCCCGGGGGTTGCCCCTGGCTGGGCCCTGCCCGCCGCACGGAGCAGCCGCCTGAGCTGGGCCGGGACCCCCGGGGCAGCCCCGGTGCAGGGACCCTGGGGCCGTGGGGCGGGGAGCGCGGGAGGTGCCCCGGGCAGCGCAGGGTCTGTGCGGGCTCGGGGCCTGCTGAGGGTGAGTAGGCGAGGAGCCCGTAGTTCATGAAGTACCTCTGCTAGAAAGTCGTAAAAACCTTTCTGCAATTAAAAATTTACCCAAACAAACGGACCGAAAAAATTCTTTGCTGTGGGGGTGGTAAGACTGGCACAGGTTGCCCGGGGTGGTTGTTGTTTCCCCCCCTCACCTGGAAGCGTTCAAGGCCAAGTTAGATGAAGCTTTGAGCAAGCTGGTCAAGTGGAAGGTGTCCCTGCCCATGGCATGGATGTTGGAACTAGAGGTTTCAGTCTTACAGGTCCTTTCCCAAACCATTCTATGTTTTATGTGTTCTGAATATTGCCCTACTGGCTGGTATCCTTTGACATCAGTGACTACTTGCCTCTTGCAGCCATCTCTTCTTGTATGAGGCTGTGTTGCTTTCTGGGGACAATGGAAGATGTACCTGGCTAGCAAAAACTTGGTGTGGTAATTGAAAGTAAACGCTAATTTCCATTCTAAACCAGTAACAATAATCTGATTTCCAAAGCATTTTACAGACTTCTCCAAAGTTAATTTTACAGACAGGACTAGCAGAATATTAGTAGTAACCCACAGCAATAACTTTGCTCTGAGCATACACACATTCATACCCAAGAAATAATGGAGGCAGAACACATCTGACAGTTCACTTGATGCAAAACTAACATGGTGTGAGTTTCTTAATAGCATTCCTGTCTTGCTGTTTTAACGACTGTGGTGGATGGTTAATGTCTCTTCATTGCAGAAAATGTTTGTTTGGGCTCCAGGACTGCAGAGGTAGCACATACCTGCAGAACCACTGCCAGGCAGATATATTTTCTGAGAATTATTGTAAACTTCTTGTTTTGTCCTATCGCGTTTAGTCCCAAGTGGTGCTGGATTGACTGGATGTAGAGTGCTTGGCACTGGCACAACTGGGATATTTAGAGCCCTGCAGAGCGGTCTGTCAGCCTGCAGTGGAGGGTTGTGGGGTTTTTTTTTGTTTGTTTTTTAACCACACCTTTTATCAGCTATAACAGCTCTGCTGCGTGTGTATCTGTTAGCGTAAATCATTATTAAACATGACAGAAGAGAAAAATCCTCTTGCTCCCAGCTGCTTTTAAGTACAAGGTTTGAAACTGTTTGAAGCCATGCGTTGGCCTAGTAATGGAAGCACTTCAAATGCTGGATCAATGCATCCTGTGTGAGTGCAAGCCTCTCTGATTCAATTGCTCATTTTCCTTGCCTTAAAGAGGTGATATCTTTATTGTACTGCCACTACCAACTCAAATATAGCCATGTACAATTTTATCCTTTATGTCATTTATGGCAGTAGGGGATAGAATCTGTCAGTTCCCTCTGGCCTAGATCTTCAGATGCATTTAGGTGCTTCGATGCCATTAAAATTAATGCTGCTGCTGTAGAAGAGTTGTTTTATTTTGAAAAAAATTAACAGCCAGCTGGCACATGCAGTGCATGCTGATGGGTGGTCAGCTTGTATCCTATGGGTCTGATCCAAATGGAGCCAAGGCTACCTTAGCCTGCCTGTGTCCTTTCCTTCCACATAGTCTCTGCCCCGCTGATGGCACAGGTACTGAACTGAACATATCACAGCCTTCTGTATCCAAGGTAGAAGTGAGGATAGTTTACTGAAGTGTGCCATGTTGCTTCCCAGGGTGCTGAGTTGCCCTTGCAGTGAGAGCAGGGCAAATGGCTGGAGTCTGAGGCACCACAATAAGCTACTGGCATTTGTCATTCAGTTCCAGTTAATCACTATTCCAGAGATGTCAGCCTGAATCTGTGGGACTTGGATGCGTGCAGTTAAATGCCTTACTGGTTTTATGATCCGTGCATAGGACACATTGGGATAGATTTAAGAAGAAATCTTTACCTTCAGAGCATGGTGTAATGTAACACATTTCTATTGATGATGTTCTTCTGTTAGAGTATGGCATTGCCTGGAGGCTCTTTTGACCCTTTGGGTTGGAATTTGTCTCATTGTGGTATGCAGGTGAATTAGCTTGGTGAAGCATTGCGGTAGTTAACAGACTTCATTTTTTTCAACTTCTTCATGTTCAGTGGCATTTTAGTTGCAAAAATAACAAAGGACAAAAATAAATGGAGAGGAAGGTGATGAGATTAGAAATATTAGCAGAAAAGAAATTAATCCCAGAAAAATAAAACATTAGTAGATTTTTAGGACCCAGCAACTGCAATTCACCACATCTTGGAGAGTATACTTTGTATTATTGAGCATCTCAGTTCCAGAGAGATAAGTAAGGACTGAAGGAAGTTGTAAGGACTGAAATTAATTCAAAGGCTGGGCAGTTCTCTATGTTTCTCTCTATGTTTTCTCCTGAAAAATAGTTTAATAAGTAGTCAAGGTAGCTTGGTTTCCATCTTTTCCTTCACTAAACAAATTCCTTGCAGTGCTGTGTTTGGATGCATTGAGCAACATTAGTATTATTTTTGATTCATCTAGTGCCCACGGAAGAGTGCAGCAGGAATTTTGTTCCCACATAGTCTGTGTTCATAGTAGCAGCTCATGTGTGTTTGTTGGGGAAGTAAAGGCCAGTGGTGTGGGTTACTTATGGGAAGGAAAGATGGTGAACATTTTTGGATAGTTGTTTTTTCCTGACAGGAACTTCCCACACATAAAACTTAATTTAAGAAGTTTTTGTCATAGCAAGGGAGCAAAAATACTGGCACTTTTTTCATTGGAGGCAATTATAGACAATTTATGTTAACTTGCATTAACTGAGAAGTTTGAACCAAGACTGAGAGCTCAACTCCGTAGTCTAGTAAGACATTTTGAGAGCTGATGGATCAATTTAACACATTTGTCAAAGGGTGATGAGACATTAGAATGGACTGCCCAGGGAAGTGGTGAAGCCACCGTCCTTGGAGTTGTTTAAGAAAAGGCTGGATTTGGCACTTAGTCCCATGGTCTAGCTAATGTGCTGGTGTTATAGGCCAGACTTGATGATCTCAAGTCTTTTCCAGCCTCAATAATTCTGTGATTTTGTGATTTACAGCCTCTTACAAATTTTCTTTTATGAAACTAACAAATCAAATTATTCAAGTTCATTATTTTGAAAAAATGATTCCTTAATATCTAACATTTTAATTTATTCTCTGGTCGTATTTTTCTGAAGTTGCCTTTTTCAACTGATACTGAAATGGCTGTATCCAGGCTGCTGTCAAAGATGTTCCCAGTTAATATGCATGATCTCAGTGTTATATTTCATCTGTTTTATCTTGGAATTTCAGAAGGATGATTCCCAGAGACTTCTGGAAAGCTTCAACTCTGATGAAAAAGAGCACACAGTCACAAAAAGTAAAGCAGAACCCTATACGTCAAAAGAGGAAATTCTGCTGGAGGTAAAACTCTGCTCTTGTTGGTAGATGTCCATTTTGCTGCACATAGCAGTGAATGCATTCATGGCCTGATCCAAACTGTCTTAATTTTATTTGATTTGGAATTGAATCCTTAAAATTTCAGAAAAAAAGGAAAGTAGGAGTTGATGGCTGCTTGTGAAGGCAGCAATTTCAGGCACTCATTCCCCTTCTGAATTCCATTTCTCTTGGAGGACTCTGGATATTATAATCAAGATCCTGAAACACCAGGGTGGTGAGCTGGGGTTTAAGGAGAATTAGAGAAACAATTTGGAAGGAAAAGTAGAAGAGACGAACTTAACTCACCCTCAATCAAAAAATTAATACAATTTTTTAATATTTTTTTTTTTGTGGTAATCTCAGAGTTACTTCAGAAACAGCCCTACTGTGTTAGATGGTTAGATGGCTGCCTTTCACCCAAAGCTGATTTGATTGCTCTTGGTGAAACAAAAGGTTGTGAGATAAACTGCATGTTTAAAAAAATGTGCAGTTCAGCTAACTCTTTCAGTCTATTGTAAAATTGAATACAGGCAGAAAATGTCAGTTAAAGCCAGCCAGTCTTCTGTTTAGCTTTTCAAGACAAAGAGGAGATAGATGTTATTGTAAACATTTGACTGTTGGTTTAAATCCTGACAGATAATTAATCTTCATTTCAGTTTTCTGATCAGGAATGGTGACAAACCATGGTTGGTAATATGCTTGAGTTAAAGTACAGCATAACAAGTAGGCATGAAATAAATTCTCTTATGGGAGTGTAAACCCTGTGGGAGAACTTGTGTAATGATATAACTGCATATTCCCAGTCCTTTTGAAATGGGATCACAGTCTAGAAGGTGATCATTCACAACTGTATCCATTTCCCAAACACATTAGCTTGATTATAACACATGAAGAAATAATGTAGTTATTTGAAGGGACTTTCTCCCACCTAACTTCTATATTTTTTTCTATTAATTTGTTCCAATTCCCAGAGGCTTTTGCTGTTACTAGCACAGAATTGACAGTTCACAAAGATACACAGATGGAAAATGCTTTTAGTTAGGTTAGAGCACTTCAGAAAAATAGGCATTTTCGTTCCGAGACCTTCCACATTGCAATAATACCATAATTACTGTATTAATAATGACTGTGTATTACTCATGCCTGCTGAGAAGCAGTATGTGTTAGCTCTGGCACACTGCAGTGTGGCTTTATGTCTTTGGACAGGAGCTGCTCTGCCTCCAGACATTGCAGGGCAATGGCTCTGCTAGTGTCTATCCCTGAATGTATACTACAGCAGTGGGACTACTCAGTATGAGCATGTTTTACACACTGACCCCATGCTTTTAGCTTTATTGGTAAATGCAAAAATTACTTCTGGAAGTAAATGAAATGGAGATGAAAAAGGTGCAATGATAAAAGAAACTAATGAATTCTATTGTTTGCTCTTCCTGTCTCTATTTTTAGACTCTAATAGTACTTTGATATTCCTAGAAAAATCTTTATAAAGAAAATCGTGTTTTGACAAATCAGATTTGTTCATTTCATGTGACAAACCCAAAAATTTAGAATAGGAAATCTTCCAAAGCTTGGATTTAAACATTCTATCTGTTGCTTATAGCCAACCTTTTATTAAGCCATACATAAACTGATGATACCAAGCTGATTATCTCATTGTTCCAGTGCATAAAGCAGCAGCTAGGAAAGGAGTAGCAGAGAGTCTATTACATGATATAGCAGATCATATGAAAAGAATGCATTATCTATAAAAAGTTCTTTGGAAGAACATTGATATTTTCTCCAGATTATAGGTGAGGGTTGTACTTTAAAAGTTTTTCCTGGAAAAATGATGTTTTATTTAATCTATTGCTTCTTTATTTAAATGGAAAGTCAGGATTTATAGCCATGATTATATCTATTATTAAGATAATTTCAGTCTTTCATGTGAAATCTTCAGTTGTTGCTGAAGGGGGAAAAAACCTGAAATGAAAATAGCTTCTGAATACCAGCTATTGCCTATTTTCCCTCACAGGAGTAAAAACATTTTGAAGCAGTGCTAATGACAATGTTATCATTTTTGGATTTCATACTCTGAATGAGTCTTAGAAGAAGACTTCTTGTTCCAAATTAGAAACAGTCAGTGCATAGTTAGTTATTAATAGGAATTTCTAAGCTGTGTAACCAAAGCAAGCATGCAATACTTAGACTGAACAAATATCAGGTCTGCTGCTATTCCCAAATGATCTTCTGTTCTTTTCTCTACAGGAAAGTGAGTCTCCTCTGAATAGTAACATCACGGCATTTGCATTAAAGGCAAAAGTGATCTATCCCATCAATCAGAAATTCAGGGTAAGGTTTTAGATTCTGCTGGGTCATTCTGTGTCAGTAAATTGTAGAGTCACATAATTGAAGAAAACCTATTGCCAGTGTGCATAACAGAGACCTTTATTTGTTTATGCTCAGGGCTCATCCTGTAATGTACCAGTTGCTTTCAGCTCCACCTGAAACCTGCAGACATGGTGTCTGGTCAGCTTGCACTGTAGTCAAGAGAATTTTTTGTCCCACTAACATTAGTGAAAGTTGGGTCTGTCCTAGGAGACATAAGAAAAACCCCACAAGGATCTGCCTTTCAGTAAGAAAACATTCACTAAGCAGATAACCACAATAGGAGAATGCTTTCAGGGCAATGCAGAAACCTGTCAGTATGAAGAATCTTAATTTGTGTGGAAACTCTTTTGCTGTTTATATTGCTGGATTTTTTTCTTGAAAGCAAACACTGCGAAGTTATGTTTATCTCCTTACTGTGTTGTATTAATTGACCTTATCAATTTTCATTGATTCTAGCCTTTGGCAGATGGCTCATCCAATCCATCTTTGCATGAGAATCCAAAGCAGACGGTTCTGCCTAATCAAGTCATGGAGACATCTACGTCAGGCAGCCTGGGATCACTCAGCCAGGGAGACAAAGAAGACTGCAGCTCCTCCACAACTATTCATTCCACAACAAGTGATGATAGATTTCAGGCTCGAGCCTTCCTGAAGGTGACCAGCTTCCCTGAAGTGCTAATATGTGAGAGGTAAGCCATAAACCTGCCCTCATGTTTGGTCATTTCCTATCATACCTCAGTGGTTTTCAGGACAAGCGCTAGAGGTTTGCTGTAAATGAAAGACTGAGCTTGAACACATACACTCAATTACTAAGGACAGGACTGTCTGCTTATAACCCTAAGAAGTGGTTGGGGAAACTGAAGAAATGGATCATGTTGTATGTGGAAAGTCAGTTTCTTCTTTATGCAATTTTTGGGAATCAGAACTTCGGCAAAAGCAGCCTTGTAAAATGTACATCACTGTTAGGAAGAGGGGATCCCTTTGTATTGGCTTGTATGCTCAGTTCACGCATGCAGTGGTATATTTGGCTGGGAATAGAGTCCTCTGCGTGGTACAGCATCAAGTCAAACAACAGGTGTCTTCAGAACAGCAAGTGGCAGTGGTCTGTTCTCTCCGTTTTAATGGGAACTACTCACATCACATTGTGGGAAAACTGTTCGTTTCTCAGAGACTCCAGTAATGAGCAGATAGAGCTAATCAAAACAGACTATCAGCTCTGATTTTCTTTCAGCTGCACAACAGCAAGACACCACTAGATGAATGCATGCATCTTTATTCTTATTAGCAAAAATAAAGAAAATCATCTTCGTGCCACTGTGGGGACTGAGGAAGGTTCTAGTGATGAAGAGAATTTTCAAAATGTCCACTCTTATTATAGGTGTTTTATTTTAAAGCTTCACTGTAGCCATGCATGGCTATATTTACCTTGTTTTTTTTTCTAAAGGGAAATGCAATTCCAACTTTGTTAAGCCACTGTTTTGTTTTGCTTACTTTCATACTGAGAAATTTTATCTGGAAGAGAAGACAACACAGAAATAAAGTTATTTGACTGTGGTTCTAGAGGCAACACTTTTAGGATAATTTAGTAACTAAATGAAACTATTATGTGGTGTTGCTTTTTAATGTGACCTTCATTTAGATTGATATTAACACTTAAATCTTTGTTTTAGTTTTGATGTTAAGCTGTGCCTTTGCAGTCTTATTTTAAAAGATCTCATGCTTCTGGATACTGAAATCAGAAAAGAAAAACATGTGGTAGGTACCCATGTCTCATTTATAGTTATTTGATTTGGACATCTTAGTTGAATATCAATTTAGGTAATAACAAATGACTAGCTGGGAAGTAGTGTAGCAGAGTTGCATCTCTAGGGTATTCTCTTTATTTTTCCTCTCTATTCTGCATATGTATGAGCTTCACAAAGGAGGGAAAGAGAAATAAATATATTGGGCTGTGAAATACTGGAGGTCAAACTAGATAATATAAAAATTTGGTTTTTGAACTTTACTACAGAGAATAACATAAAGCACTTGAAGGTCATAAAAACAGAACAAAATTTATTGAATTGATGAGTTTATGTTTTAAGGGCAATGCATGTGGATTACAACTCCAAGGACTCCAAGCTCTGAATAAAACTGAAAATTCATTTTAACTGAATCAGTACCATTGACATACAATAGTTCTGATTTTGTATGACAGAGGAATTCAGGTACTCATTTCACTCATTTAAAACATAGATAGCTAACTATGTCAAGTCACAGCATCAAAAGCTGATAGGAAAAAAAACACAAACCAAAAATGAATGTACACAATTGATTATTGTGACTACTTATTGTCAAGTACAGAATCATTACAGTTACTGAGTTTTAGCTTAGTTAATATAAATCTGGGCATAAAGTATGTATCTTTCTCCTCCCCTTCTTTCCTAACCTCTGTTTAAAACAGGTTGGTAATTCCTGAAATAATTTTTTAAATGCAATGAGAATATTTCTGTTCTGGGATTTTCTAAATAAATTTCTACACACCAAAAGATGAAGCATGGAAGTAAACCTGGAAAGCAGCTTCTCTTTTGGGATTTATTCCCATCTAAATAGATGAGGAAGGGAACTTGAGATCAGATTGGAGAATGAAATGTAGCTTGAATAGGGAAAGTTGAACGTGATTTCAAAATGGGTAATCCATTTGTAAATGAAGATAGCAGCAAGGTGATGTAATCACAGAAACACTGAGAAAATGAGTATTTAACGTACTTTGTGGCCTACCAGAAATTGTCATAAAAGGCAAATGACTTTGACCTTTAGCTGAAGCTTGAATAGCTGTGTATTTTCACTAGCAGGAGAAACATTTCCTCTTTGAATGTTTACCTGAATTATTTTATTTAATTTTTTTCCCCACTTTTTATAGTATCTGGTGTCTTGGTGTCTGTTCAAAATTTGCCAAACTCCTATCCAGAACATTGGCTAGTGAGATTCAAAACATGACGGCTTTACCATGTTCTCTGCTACTCAGCAAGAATGCTACCCTACTTTCCTGAATTTGCTGGGCTGAGATGTTGACTTTGATAACTGTTTGCATATGTAAAAATGGTTTTATTTATGTTTTTGCATGTTTAAATTGAGCAAGTTCTGCATCATCTGTTTTCCAGTGCATGAGTAATAGGCAGGTGGCTTTTAAATTTCACATATTTTTATCTTCATGTTGAAAGATGCTGCAGCAGTTAGTAATGGAGTGAATTGTCTTTACATTGGCACTCCAATCAAGGCAGGAGAAGAGGTTAGGCAAAAATTACCCCATTGTTCAAAAACATCTTTTTAAGGACGCTAGGATTACAATGTTTACAAAACCCAAACAAACAATAACTGGAAAATTGGTGTGTTTTTATAAGAGTAGGTAGGTAGAACTGGAGATGGTTACTTTTGTGTTGTGTATTAAAATGATTGATACTTCATGTAGCCAACTGTAGTTGAAATCATAGTAAGTAATATGTTTGTATCCTTCAGCTTACATTATCACTGTTTTACATCACGCGTTTTTTAAGTGATCTGTACATTGCCCAGTAAAGGACAGTTTCAGATGTGTCACTGATTCCAAGGCTGTATGAGATTGTCCTTGTCCCTGTTGGAACATAACACCATCTTTCTGAAGCCAAAGCTAAAGCATTTTTCATAACGGAAGTACTGCAGAGTTATGATGATGTTTCTATTATTTACTTACAATGAACTGTATTCTCACTGGTTGATTTAAATCAAGAAAAGGCATCACAGAGATGTCCTTGTGATGTTGAACAGGCACTTATCCTGGATTTTGTTTCCTTCCTTTTGAACAGATGTTTGTTCAGGTTCTCAAAATATACCTCACAGACTTGCGTCATAAAAAGAAAATTACTGATGATTTGTGCAAGAAGATCCTTTTAAATCAGGAAAATGTAAGTGGGTTTGTTGGTTGATATTTCTTTCAGACCACAGAGAGTAAGAGTTAAACTAACCAGTTGGTGCAGCCTGCTACAGCAGGCTATCTCAGCTACTTTTTTTCAAACAGCAATGCTACCTGTAGTCTTTTTCAGAAGAGATGCAAAGAAACTCCCTTGTTAGTTGATGTTTGCCAATGCCTTGTCCACATTTCCCCCTTGTTATTGTGTGAGGTGGTCAGGACAGTGATGTATCTAATCAGTTAAGAACAAAAGTGTTTTGTAGTGGAATCCATTCAACTACAGAATGAATTGTGAACCAACAGAACATTGTGAACCTTATACACTCATATAAAAACATTTCTGATTATCTAATTATCTTTGTCTATTTCCATTAATCATTACTGATGATAAAATAGAAAAGTACCAGAAGGAAACTCTGGTACCAGAGTAAACTCCCTCTTTTTATCAAGGGAAAACATAATTATCTTCTTCTTGATCTTTTTTTCTTTCATATCCTTGTATCAAAATCCATTTTCTACTTCTGAACTAAGTGGTATAGATTGACAGTCAATACGCATTCCAGGTGGAATCATAATACTATTTTAAGATTATTTGAAGGAAAAAAAAGCTTTACAAAACTGAACAAAATAAGAGAGCTACTGATTCCACTTTCCATTTTACAGATTAGAGTAATAGAAAAGTCTGGGTTGGGAGCCACTTTTAGAGTTTATTGGTCCAGCCTTCTGTGGGAAGCAGGGAATAACATAAGGCTATCTAGTGCCCTGCCAAGCCAAGGCTTGAATATCTGCACTGAAGGAAACTCCCATTTCTCTGGACAACCCATCCCAATACTTAATTCTTCTCACAGTAACGATTTTTTTTTCTTACATAGAGATGGAATATGACATCTAGGCATTAGTTGTTGAGATTTATTTTTTCATTCAGTCTCACAATCTGTGAATGAATATCAGGAATGTCTGTGCTTGTACCTAATAATTTATTTCAAAATGGAATTTGCATTGAGACCACCCCTGCATTAAATCATCTGGTTTAGTATTAAAGTTGATTGTTTTTACTAAATTAATAATGAGATTTGGTGTGTGAATTCCTTTTTCTGATGGACTTCTGGTCATGACAATTATAAATACAGAGGTAATATAGGTGAAGCATGTTTCCCAGTACAGCCCAAACCTCAACGAGGCTTGACAGCATCGGTGTCTTCATGCACATAACAGAGCTGCTGCAAGACAAAGGCTGAATCTTGTTTGTTTCCAGTAATTGCTGGAGTTGGCCAATCATTTAAGTGTCAATATAGCATTCCTATGCCCTATATTCTGGAGAGAAAAGTCTTGGAAATATGAAAGCTTTAGAGTTAGGATATCACATAAAGGATGAGGCTGATTATGGATACCATGTAAAAGAGACATTGGCAATAAGCAAAAGCATTACAACTGGAAGCTACTGTATTTAATACTGTATTGACAAGGCTGAGGATTATCACAGACAGCATTATCCTCTTTCAATTCTGCAGTGTAGGAAAAATTCATGGGATTTTGATTACATTTTTGGTGAAGCTTGTCAAAATATGGTTGCATTTCTTTTAAGACATAGGCTATCAAGTTAATGCATTGACACCCAAAATCGTGATATTAAAAGTAAATATTTGTTACATAAAGTGTGTTTCAGCAACTCCAGTATTATCCCTTTCAGTGCCAAGCTACTAAGTAGGGGCAGAAGACTAGTATTTGTCAGTATCATTAGCTTCCAGAAAAAATCATCCTCGTTTCAAAAGATTGAAAAATTTTAAAAACCAATATAATGATGTGGCCTGTAATTTGTCCCTTATGAGCACTACAGGTTCATTCATCTAGCTGAATATTTCTCTGAGCTTTCAAACACAGCATATACACTTATTAGAATAAAAATATTTTTAGATAGATTCAAAGGATTATTAATATGAAGGCTCATGGAGCAATGTTTACTAAAATTTTTATTCGGTGGAGATGAACAACAGTCTTGGTTGTGCTCACACAGTAGTGGAAATGTTTGTATTTGTATCAAGCGTAGTTCAGAGCTGGCATATATATACACCTTAATTTTCTTAGCTTGTCAGATTTAGAAACTGTATCTGTTTTTCTGTTTAACAAATGACTTGCCTTTTTTTTTTCCCAGGATTTTGAAGAACTACAGAAACAACTTGACTCTAGACTACAGAATACTGATATGTCAGGAGCCCATAATTCAGAGTACCAAACTCTAGAAGACTTAGAAAGGAAAGAAAGAGAATATTCTGAGCACATAATAGATAACGTACCTTTCTATTTTTTCTCTCCTAAAGTTTAATGTTAATGTTACTCTTTTGATGGGGAATGTTTTTCTTACTTTTTTTAAACTGTTGTATTGACTAGTCCACAGTTAGTACTTCAGATGTGCGTGAGTCATGAAAATGTTTTTACATTGCTCCAGCAATGTATTTCCAGCTCCCTTTGGGAGCCAGTGGGCTCTTTATACAAACACTGTTTTATCATATTGCTTGTCAGATGGTAGGATTTATTTGAAGCGTAGATATAGTCTGACTTTTAGGAGTATTATTCTAGCACCTTGTTTTCTTTAGTCCTCCATAACTGAGTAACAGAGTAATAAGAGACTATAAAATATTTTGAAGCTGAAATAATTACTAAGGAAATAATTACCTTTTAGCATACTTTGCAAATTTACTGAAGTAAAACTTTATGCCTTAGCAGCTCTACACATTTATAATACATTCATAATACATTCACTTTTTTTAATGTATAAAATGTAGCTTGATAGCAGGCATTCCATTCTCAAAGTGAAAGTTTTGGGTTCTTTTTCTCTACAGTAGTGTCACAATGTCCAAATAGCTTGGAGGCTACAAAACAGAAGGTTAAGAATATTCTGCATTTTATTTTGTAGTAAATGGAATAATCTGGAATATATTCTTCTTTCCAGTCCTCTTTTTGAGTTTTGAGCAAATTCACTGCTGATGAAAACGAGTGCCTGACTAGTCAGACCGCTGGCTCTGTGAGCTGCCTGTGCTCTTTTGCTGTGGCACTTCACCCTGAACTAAATAGGTCATCGTCTCAGCCTTGGGTGTTTTTCATAGAGGAGTTAACATTTTATTCACCTCTGATGGTTAAGTGTGGTAGTAGGAATTTTCTTCAGCTTTCTTGTGATTCTCTGTGTCTTTCACTTTATTTTGGAGGTCCTGGTAAAGATGGCACATCTGCATCGAGTTTCTTTTGCAATTTAACTTCGCTCTTTGAAAAATTTGTTGTTTAGATTTCTCTAGAGTTAGTGATATAAAAGCTTCCTGGCAGCCTCACTGAGCAGGATGAGGCAGTTATTCATTAGTGGCAGTCATCCTTGAGTGGATCTGTCACTCTTATGCCAGCAGATGCTTTTCATCTGTATTGAAAATGATTTCCCCATACACAGATTTCTATCGATCAGGCCCTTGAACTAATCCACTCTTCCCTTGGTGATATGAAGGGGTTTTTTTTTCCATACTGACAGATGTCGTAGTCACTGTTATTTACAAAACTTACAGATGCTTAAGTAAATTTTGAGGATGGATAGAGAATCACAGAATCATAATGGTTGGAAAGGACCTCTAAGATCACCAAGTCCAACCATCAGCACAGAAAAACCCCACAGATACAAACAACCACACACACTCCACCAAAAAAACACCCACAAAAAACCCCACAACCTCAGCTACTAGAGCATGCCTTGAAGTGCCACATCTACATGTTTCTTTAATACCTCCAAGGGTGGTGACTCAACCACCTCCCTGGGCAGGCTGTACCAGTGCCTGACCACTCTTTCAGTATAGAAATTCTTCCTAATACGCAATCTAAACCTCTCTTGCTGCAACTTCAGGCTGTTTCCTCTGGTCCTGTTATTTACTTGGGAGAAGAGGCCAACACCCACCTTTCAGGTAGTTGCAAAGGTCAGTGAGGTCTCTCCCCTCAGCCTCCTCTTCTCCAATCTAAACATCCCCAGTTTTGTTTTTCCATTAGGACTAGAACATAATAGGCTTTTGTAGATGCAATGTGTGGAGATCTAACAAAAAATTCTTAGCAACTTCTACAGAATTACTACATTTTAAAGGGTCAGGATTGACCTGCTGTTTGTATGTCACCAACATGTGTATTGTCATACAGTAAATAGGCTCTTTACCTTTGCAAAATGTCCACTATACCTCATACTAGAACCTGTCTGTAGTCTCAGTGATTTGTATCTTTGTAGACTCATATGCCTCCCGCTGTGATGAAATACTAAATGATTAATGAGGGAATGTGAATTGGTTTTTTAATTCATATTCTACAGATGGAAGGTTTCTGGAAGCAAACTGACAAAGCCCAGCAAGCTTTTTTGGACCAATCAAAATTCTCAAGTGCCAAAGCAACAAAAATAACAATGGATCTGACTGAGAAGATGATTGCAGTAGAAAGCTTATTAAGTGAATATCAAGATTTGCAGGCAATGGTAAAGTACAAAAAGAAATAAAAGTGAAGAGAGATTTAGTCAATCTGAACACAAGGAATTATATAAATTTACAGTTCTGCCTGAGGGATGATGTAGACTGCTTACTCCAGTTATCTCTTTTAGCTTTGTTGCATAGAGCTCAACTTCCATTGCACTTTATAAAGACTCAGAGGAAGGTGAACCTCTGCAGCTGAGTTCTGATTCTCAAAATACTGTTTAGACAGTCATGTTAGGAAAAAGTGATACTGATGCAGCCAGTGAGCCAGAGGCAAGAGCACTAGATAAGATGAAAGGAGAATCATTACCTTGGGCACTAAGACTATTTATTTATTTATTTATTTATTTTAAAGTATGTATTCCACTTTGACTGAGAAATCCTAATTTAAATTTCAGGATATTCTGGGTGTTCAATAACTTTAATTGGATTTGAAAACCCCTAACATCTCTTAGGGATATGATCTGAAGATGGAAAAATATGTTTATAAATGCATCAGCACCATGCCTCGTGTTAAAATCAAGAGATTCTTTATTTGCTTTCCAGAGGACATACTGAAAGAATTCTTTATTTGCTTTTCAGAGGAGATACTGAAAGAATTACTTGAAATTTACCAGCTTAGTGGAATCTGGCCCACTGCTTTTATTAGTAATTTGGAGAATAAATGGATAGCTAGCTGTTTTTTTGCTTACTAATAAACAGATACAGTAATTATTAACTTGTTAGTTTTGCATTGGAGTACCTAAGAAAACTGAGCTGGCCAGGTATGAAAAGTCTTTGCAGCTGATTGCACTTGACCCATCCCAGGCTACTGCACAGTAAGTTCCTTCAGATGGTCAGACTTCAACTGAGATGTTTGGGTACAGGTACAGGAAATATTCCTACCTGAAGCCACTATTGTGATGCTTGCATCTCATTGCAGAGGTCATTGTATGTGTGTCTCCGTTAACTACAGTAATTGCTGCACTCTTTCCAACTTTGCAGCAAAGTCTAAAGCAGTTGCTGTTTCACCCAGGAAGTTTTGCTCCCTACTGTAATTCTGGGCTTCTCTAATAATGCAATGAAAGCTTCTAGGCCATAGACAATTCTGGTAATTTCTTAGTATATCTACTGAACTCCAGCTGACCACATACTTGAAGGAATCCCAGCGGTATCAAAGTCAGATGTGTCCTTATTTCAACAGGAAGGCCCATACTGGTGTGCCCTGTAGTATCTTAAAAGGTCAGAACTTCCATGTTTTCCTTCTGTCCATCTTTCCCCCTGGATTATTTAAGTTTGTTCTGCAAGCTTATTTTATTTTCTTGCCTTAGTGTCTTCTTGGCAGCTACAAATAATGAAAAACACCAGTATTTTTAGATCGGGTCTTACAACTGAACATGCAGTAAACCCACTGCTGTCCTACACTGGTCAAGACTTTCAGAAGTATTTAAGTATATGAAGGTTGTTATTCATGTCGTCTTGTGAAGCGTCCTGAGCTTTCTGCTTAGTTTGGGAATGAATAATTCAATCAAAGGACAAGCACAATCCAAGATCATTTCTTGGTTTCTAAACAAGACTTTTTTATGTTTTAGGACATTCAGGAAAGGTTATTCACCTGGGAGGTTATGGTAAAAATGATCGATTCACTGAAGTCCTATATACCAGAAGAGTGCAAGTGTAGATTAAATATTTTGTCAAATATCCTGGACCATTTAACTGTAAAGAATAAACTGTCAGTCCGACAAAAGGAAGAACTTCTAACAGATCTGCACAAGGCCTTCTGGGATCAGTTAGCACATTTCAGTAATGGTGAGTACTTAGACTGGAGCTCATGAATTAACAAATATGGGCATTAATTCACATTATTAAGTAGTTAAAAAAAAAAAAAATTGTTTTGGCCTTATACCCATCTGTTTTAAAAAGGCATTGATAAATTGACCAAGTAGACTATTGTTGTAAAGGGTGGATGCCTAGAATAGGAACTTTGGCTTTAAGCCTTTTAGGTCTTGTTCCAGGCCTTACTATGAACTTCCTCTACAGCTCATATAGTCTATAACTGCTTTCATTAGTTTGAAGATGAGTCATGTTTTTGCAAGTATTTGTGGGATTTCTCCTTTTGCTGTTGCTGTAACTTGATGTGGTTGGTGGTAGTAGCTAACCTTAGGGACAGTAATAACTGTATATGTGCAAAATACTGTCTTATGATCTGCTACCATCTGGAGCCAGGAGAAGATACACAAAACGTAGTTGTGCTATTACTCTTGAAAAGATAATTTTAAGGCTTATGATCTTCAGATAATCCTCTCTTCTATTATGTCAGACTAAAATATATTAAAAACAAAGTTTTTTCATCTCACAGTCCTTCACACTGCCTATCTGTAAAGTACACAATTATAACAAAGTCTAAGCTGACTGATCTGCTGATTTAAGACTCTCTCTGTATCACTTTGTTTGTTACTGAATCATAGAATCACATAATGGTTTAGGTTGGAAGGAACCTCTGGAGGTCATAACGATCCAGTCCACCTGCTCAGGCAGGGTCAGCTATAGCCAGCTCATGACCATAGCCAGACAGTTGTTGAGTATCTCTAAAGTTGGAGACTCCACAACCTTTCTGGGAAGCCTGTACCTGCAGTGCACAAGCAGGACACAAAGCCTGTAAGATTTTGCTCCTAGGAAACAAATAAGAAAGTAGTAAAGAATCGAGTAGTGTTGAAGACAGTTGCTACATTTGTTCAGGTGACATTTTTATTACAGGCTTTCGTATACTTTCATTGCACTGTCTAGTGTTTTGTCAGTGCATCATCAGCCTGTGAATAAAATTAGCATGGAGAATAAGCAATGTGCTCAGTGCTACGGTACTGTGCTCCTTTCTCTCTCCACAAAATAGTTTACTATAGTTAAAGCAGCTTGATATGATGGCAGGACAGCAACCACAGATGACTCTTGTGTTCTCCTTTTGCTGCCTGTGTCCAGAGTGAAGTACTGGTCTGGGGAAGGGTGGGTGGAAGAAAAGAGTAAAGTTCTTCTTAGGTGGACAGGCAATTAAACATGAAGTCATGGTAGAACATTCTAAGTGCTGATTCTACTCTGCAGCACAAGGTCCAGATAGACTCATGAATTTATGAATCACTTGGACCTGTAAGGGTGATGAGCGGGGGAAGAACTCAGTCCCAAATATTTCACATCAGAGGGACCTTGGCAACTTTTGCTGCAGGTTCCTGCATGAGTCACTCTGAAAGCTTGGTATGGCTGCATGCCAGTTCAAGCTAATCTGAACTAACATTGCTCTAGACCTTTTCTCCCTGACATATATTGTTGCTCTTGTCCTTGCAGCATTATTTGCATATCTGCAATTAGGTAATGAGCTACTTCTGGACCTTCTCAAAGCAGGAGGAGGAGCTTTGGGGTGTTGCAGGTAGAAATGTGTTTCTTGAACTAACTCAATGCCTTTGCATAAGTCACAGCAGTGAAAAGGACGGTGCACGATAGTAGTGATCAAAATATCCTGATAGATTTAAGTGCCATTTAACACCCCAGAAGTTTGCATCTAAAAAGGCCATCAGGGTAAGGATCAGTTTTGAAATCCTGCATGGTAATGACTTGCTATTTCACTCGCTAACAGATTTTGGTGAGTTTATGTTGTGTGACAGTAGCAGATGCTCCTTTCTCCCTGTGGAGTTGTGGTTTCTAATTGTTGGTGGTTTATGTTTTAGAGTGTATCCAGCAAAGTAAAGACCTGATCTTGAAGCAACTGGAGTGCCGTGCAAAGAAGAGGGAAGAGTTCAAATGCAGACAGAAAGCTGAGCAAGGGGATCTCCTCAGTAAAACTTTACACATTGAAGAAATTAATAATTTTCTTAAGGTGAGCACAGAAAAGCTTGTTTTCACTATTCCATTAGTTTTTAATACCAAATACATAGCGTATTTTTCCCAGTTCCATAAAATCAGGATATTTGGGTCATCCTGAGAATTGTGTGCAGTAGCACAGGTGGGATAGGGTCAGATCTCCTATTGCCTATGGTTGCCTACATTTCCTCCAGTGGTGGACTTGTCACATTGAAACATAATATCAAAGGGTGTAGAAAACATCTTTTACTTAGCTATTATGTGTTAGGCTCAGTGTAGGGGATCTCCGGAGGAAAGTATCTGTCCTGTGTTACAGAAGCAAGCAGACTGCACTGATCTAATTGCTTTTCTGTTACTGAGATTATTGAGGCTCACAGAATGACAGAATATTAGCGGTTGGAAGGGACCTCTGAAGATCATCAAGTCCAACTTCCTTACCAGAGCAGGACCAAAAAAACCCAAACAACTAAGGCAGATCATTCAGAAACGCATCCAGACAGGTCTTTAAAGTCTCCAGGGAAGAAGACTCCACAACTTCTCTGGGCAGCCTGTTCCAGTGCTCCGTAGCTGTCACAGGAAGGAAGTTTTTCCTCATGTCAGATGGAACTTCCTGTGTTCCAGTTTGTGCCCACTGCCCCTCGTCCAGAGGCCCCTTCCAACACCTACCATTCTGTGATTCTGTATACAAAATCTGAGTTCTTAGCTGTCAATGCTGAGAACTACAAAACTCCCTATAACTGCTGGTAAATACAGACCAAATTTATTAAGAATTAAAAAAAAATAATCCTCAATTTTCATGAAAAGAAATAATTAAAGGTTAAAATGGTTACATCCAGCAGCATTAAACTTTTGATGAAATCTAATAACTTAGATAAATTACTGTATGATAAGACCCAGATTCCAGGTTTATCAAACTGTCAAAACAGATTTCAACACTGCAATTTTCTACTGCCGGGACAAGTTCTTTAGTTATATAGTATGAATTGGATAATGTAATTACTGTTCTTGTATGCAAAACCTGTCTGGCAAAACAAAAGGTTTCAGGCACTTTAAAACAGTAGAGCATGTTTTACTTCTTTGGCTTTTCATAACTTGAGATAAATAATTCTGTCACGTTTGTGAAAGTCTTTTCCTTGTACACATCATTCAAAACTCTTAGACACATCTCTACTTTATTAAACAAAGCTTAGAAACTTAGGCATTAAGACCTCTCTCCTGCAAGGGTAAGCCACACAGCTTTGTGCAAGAGATGCTCTACTCTGTACACCTTAGAAAGCTAACAAATACGCTTAATTAAACTGTAAACTAACAATCTACTTATGACAGGCTGAGCAGAAATGGGCAACTTGCACTTTATGCTGTAGGACAGAATGCAAATGAGTTAATATTATTAAATACCTGTGCACAAATAATAAAATAAATCATAAATTTAATGCTTCCTGCTGCCACAATTGAGTGAGCCTTTTGTCCCAGAACAGATAGAGTCATGAGTCCAGAGACTCCTTTGATAAGTAAGAAAAGTACATATATATATGTATCTGCAGCTCCCATGATTTAATTTAAATAGTCCAGTAATTATTTTGTGCAAGCAATCCCCTCAGCATTGAGGAGCTATTTTAAACATGTTTGATGGTTTCACAGCTAGTCCAGCACTTAAGGGCTTGGTCTGAAATCCTCACCATGCACCCAGAGTTGTACCAATCAAATGCACTTCTCTGTCTTTTCCCCTCCACTTCATCAAAGGGCTTGCACCACCATGGAAGCAGCAGCCTCAGCAGTAGCTGACCTTTCTGCTGAATTTTAAGTGGTTGCCAATTAAGAAGGTGGATTTTGTAATACACTTTCTTCACATCAGTTTCTTCTGAGCACAAGTTGGATGGTAATGATTTAGTTGCTGCAGCTCTGGCTCTTTTTTGATAGGAAGAAATTACCTAGGTAGGAAAGGTTAGAGTCCCTGTAGCATTTTGGCTCTGTATTCTGTGCTTCCGCTGGAAAAGGTACATTTTCATTTTGGTTTTTTTACTGAGAACACAGGAATGATCAAAAGATGCCCACAAGCCAAAAAGTGCCCTTTACAGTAAACCAGTCTTGCTCAGCCTTGCCCCCAGTAGACATACAAGTTACAGCAGAATTGTCAAATTCTGTGGTAAACTATAATTTCATTTTAAGTGTGAATTTTAAAGTCTACTCCTACAAGAATGACCTGTACATGAAGAGTTTATGAACGCTTTGGGCTCTTTGGAAGATCCCTATTGGTATACCTAACAAAGAAAGCCATATTTGCCACAAGAAGGCACTTAGCAGTTCAAGTAAAAATACAGAACATATATACAGGTATAAGGCCACTCTTCTGTGTATACAGTGAGATGTTCATAGTGAAATTCAGTCTTCCATTACAGCACATGAACCTGCCAACACCTCCCAGTTCTGGCTTGAAGACAAAGGTTGTATCCCTCTTAAATCTGCGACCAAGGACTAAGTCATGACCAAGTTGCAGATCAGCCTTCCAGGCTGAGTACCATCTGACACTGCCATGGGCCATGCTGATCAGCTCCAGTGCCAAACCCCTGCACAGTGTTGATACAGCTGTAACTAAGGTGTCTGATGGCTATGCTGCACCTCATAGTACCGGCTATGACAAAGTGGTGTTTGTACACAAGGAAGCAGGTTGCAAATCAGATCATTTCACATGTTTTCTAGTATTAGGTACTTGTTACTTAACCCAAATTCCTGAGGCTATACAGTTTCATACCTAAGATTGGATGTGCTCAAATTAAGACAGTAAGGCAAGTTTAATTTCCCTCTGAGTCACAGTTCCAGATAAAATCTTGCTATTGTGATGGTGCATGGGAATGGGATCAGGGAAGGAAGAGAGGATCACAAGAGGCTATCAAAACCTTCTCATTTATTTAAATATACCTATTGTGTTTCTTTTAGACTTACCATGAGCTGTTAGAGAAGCATCGGCAAGCACAGTGGGAACTGGAGGAGGAGGATGACTGCAAGAGCACAGAGGCCATTGCAGATCTCTACAAGGTATGACTTCTAATGATATGTGTCATTTACTAAAATAATTCTGAAGATCCTGTAACCACTACACAGTGTCAGGCTTTGGGGAGGATTGGGGAGTTGCAGAAGACATCGTGGTAGCTCCAGGAAGCTAGTCTGGCAAACAAGGAGATGGAGACAGACAGTCTTCCACACTAGCTTGCCTTTTCCATTATCTTCACAACACACACTGTTTCCTAACCTCCTATTAGTCAGAAAATGCTTACGTGGTCTGCCAAAACCTGCTGTCTGGGTGACTGACAAGGCTGCAGTAAATGTTGAGAGCATACAACGTATGTCATTACTACGGGGAGAGAGACTTCATTTATGTAGCGTAATCCTCTCCTCTGCACAATGTTAAGATTATACTATTCTTAGTTAATTGTCTCCAAAAATAGTTTTCTAATTTCTTTTCCTCTCAGACAAATTGTTTTGGCACTAGTTCCGTGAAAAAAGTTCAGATCTTTAGTGAAAGTAATATTTTTACCCTTCTCTATGTTACTAGTTTGGGAAATAAGTAGATGCTTCATGCTTTTGTGTCATCTATAATTATTTTCTGTCTGCACTGAAAAATAAGATAACATGATGTATCTGATGAAGCCCAAAACTGTTGCCAGCGGTGACCTTTAATTAGGCTGGAACTAATAACTTTCAGCTCAGCAGGATCCTTGTCGTGATTAATTATGACCAGATCAGGGTGTTATGGAAACTTGTAGTCCCTATCGCATGAGGGTGAGATACCCACACAATCTTAATTACCACTAGTCCACTTTTTCAAATTCAATAGATAAAAAAATAAAGTCACTGTATTTAGAACAAATAGTTTTGCCATGATTTTATGTAATAGTGCAAGCAACAGGATATTTGAGAAATATATGGCTTTGGAGAAAGGAAAAGTTTGCTTGGAGGGCTATGCCAGTGAATCAGAGTAATTAATCGTACAAAGCAATTTAATTTAAGAAAAGTCAACATATCTGCTGATGTTACTGCACACAGTCCATTCTCCAGAGTATGTACCTTCTCCAGCCCATTCCTCAATTCACATGAGGAGACCAAAGAATTTTTTTTTACCTTGCACAGTTCCACCTCATTTGTGAAATTATATTGCTTTCCTTTATTGTGTACTCTGCTTTAGTGACACTAAGATCCTCTTTCTTTCAGCACCGTTAGCTAAGTTTTCCATTAAAGAAAAATTGGTTTGGGTGAATTAAGTGTTTCTAGAATTGCCAAGTTGCCAGGAGAGCTGCAGCTCTGCCAATTCACCCATCTCTAAGCCATTATATTCCTTATTGCAGCTGCTCTCTTATTCCTAGACCCAAACAAACACTGCCAGCAATGAAAAACTGCCACAACTGTGATCCAGCTGGCATCTGTTGAATGCAGGTCCACAAATCTTAATTTCCGCCTTTTTTTTCTATAATAAAACATGTTTATTGTGACATTTAACATAAAGAGCAACTGCACTTTCTCCCCTTAACCGTAAGTATATATTCTGCAGTCGATTACAGGAGAGCAGAGTGCTTCTGAGTATACCTTGTAAGCAGCAAAAGTTAGAAGAGAAAGCATATGTGAGTATAGCCCCACTGCAGGTAAATGGAGCTGTTCTTACTTCTACAACTGAGCGAAGTGCAGTAGCTACATGTTGTCCATTACCTGGGGTAGGCATAAAAACAAAAGTAGATTTGCTGTTAAGAGAAGGAGTTACATCTCACAATCATAGTGCCTTTTCTTCATTCTGCTTTACCACACTTCAGAACAGAAGTGCAGCTTCAACAAGCACAAGCCTTTCCCTGTGAAGCAGCGCTTTGCCCCTTCTCTAAGTTTCTCTGGGTTTCTGCTTGGAAGAAACTATTGCTGCCAATGGGGAAGACGAGATACCCATGGGAAGGTGACAGGGATTCAAGACACCCCATAGTGCAGGGGTGTGACTGAAGCTCAGGCAGACATAAGCAAGTGAACATTAGACTAGCCAGGTGGGTACCAGCAACCCTCACGTGGCAATAGACCTGTGTTCCAATTGGGTTTGAATCAGCCAATTTGTAGAACCAACTAGTTTTTAGAAGCAATTATTCTCAGCACATATGCAAGCACTGCAACCTCTGTATTGTCAATCCAAAAGGCCTATACTCCCTGAAGTTTAACTCATAGTCATTTGCCTTGCAGTCTTTTGAAAGGTTTGGACTCTGCTGTTTCTGTTCTACCGTGAGCAAGGAAAAGGTTAGGTAAAGATTCGATTAAGCATTCAATAGTTCACTTACTCTCCATATTTCCATAACTGCAAGCATGTGTTCCTAAGTTAGATGGCAGGAACGTTCACCAGTAGAGAGTTCTGTTCTATTGCTTTTTTTACCATTTCAGTAGAAACTGAAGAATAGTAATGTTACTGAAAAAAAATTACTGAAACACTCTAAAGTCATCCTGGCATGCTCTACACATATTTAGATTAATATTCCTCAGCCTGTGGTCCACAAGACATCCAAAGATAGACTTCAAGATGTTTAAAAAAGGCATCCATACATTTGTAAACAGTTAGAGTGGAAAGAACTAGAAGTGATTAAATATTTAAGAGTTCATCAAGGTTTGTTTTTTTTTGTTGCAAATGAAAATCAGCCTTGCAAGACTGCACAGAGTAATTCTGCTTTCCCACACATGGAAGTTAAATAGCTGTTGGATGTAAGGGAAATAAAACGGAGATAATTACCTAAATCCAAAAGGAGGCAAAGTGTTCTGTATATTACAATTTCTCTGTAACCAAGATTTAGCCATATATGCCCTTTCCACCAAACAGCTCATACTCCTTACTGGCCCAGGATTAAAGAAATTTCACACATTTCTTCTGGCATGAACAATCTGTCCAGTATTCACAGGATTTAGGTTTCCAGACAAGTTCCTACTTGTGTACCCATTTACATGTTGACCTCGGTTGAAAACCCCCAAAACTGGAATGAATCACACCACACTTTTCCAATTCATGGCAACACAACCCAAATCATGGTGTGTTTTTTTTCCACATCCAAGCCCTCTATTTTCTTAAATTGCTGTTGCAGTCCTTGGGGCATAATCAGCATTGCAATTTCTCAGATAAACAACAGTATCCTAGTAAAGAACAGACAAAGGTACTGTAACAACACCAGTGTTAGATGCCTATTTGCCAGTTAGCTAGAGTTAGGTCCCATCCTCAGACATTCCTTCAGCTAAGAGAAGTTACTAGCAGCTTTCAAAGCAACTGTCTTAGAGCGTTTAGGCGCCTCCATCCTGGATCAGCTTTCTAAACTATTCACACCATTTTAAAGTACTGTATCAAAACTTGCACTGTAGGTGACAAACCAGAATAAATCCCCAAGAAAAAGAGTCAGTACAGAGTTCTGGATGATTGCGCTCTGACAGATGCACCTGTGCTTTTCTTTTTTTCCAGGGAAAGGCACCTGGCCAGGTCTTGTATGTGATAAAGGCTTAAATGTGTTTAAAAGCTTAGGCTCTCTATTCCTCCTTCAATTTTGTGTTGGAATAACTTGACCTAATTCAACAGTTACCTTGGTTTGTCCTCGTGGAAGCAAGCCTAGCAGACTTAGTTTCATGAATGAGTAGAAAGGTAACCTCCATGCAAGAGGTGATACTAAAATACAAGGAAAAAGTCACCATGTGACCAAATAGGGAACCAATGAATATCCTGGGGACTGAAGAAAAGGTACCACTTAAGCTGTAAGTGCCATTGACTTGTGGGAGAAGATCCTTACCTTGTTCTCACAATGTTCTTCTAAGCCTTTCTCAAATTTCTATGCCATTTTTGTTTTTTCATTTTTCCCCTTTTTGAACACTCTGTGACTTCACCAAGACAGATTTATGTAGTACTACTCTAGCCTGTAGTGCATCAGCACATCAAGGAATTATCCAAATTGATTAATAACTATGTAAAACGCAATGATCTGGAAGCTGTGTTTGCATAGAATAATTGAGTAGGTTTGTTTTGTGTACACATGAATAAATCAATTAAAATTACTTAACCAAGGTCAATGGAATCTGTTGATGCCTGAAGCAAATGAACGAGTTATATTTGGAAGGTAGCATAGAACATTTCAGTCATGCTAGTGGATTAAAATAATGTGCTGTAGGTGAATAGCCTGTGTCTAAACACAGTCTCCATAACTAATTTTTGAAGTGCAAGTTGTGGAATGAGTTCAAGTGATTTTTATTTTCATGTTATGTGGTAACTGAAGGAGGAATTGTGTCAGAGGTAACTGAATGGCTCAGCCTAATATTTTCATAAACACAGCAGAGTTATCCCATACTCAAGGGATATTGTGTCACAATAACAGTTGTGTTTTGGCGTGGGTAGTTTTTTAATTGCCAGGATTTTTACAGTAATTTTCTGTTACATGGCAGCAAGAGCATCCCTGTGCCCCCAGTGTGTCCTGTTCTGTTTCTTGTGATGTCTTGAAAGGATTAATGGCTAGCTCTTTGCAAGTCTGCCTGAGGTTTAGCATATCAGATATTAATCAACCTTTAAACTTTTCTTTCTCCCCCATCCTTTTCTTTTTTTTTTTTTTGTGAACTACCTGCTTATTGCAGTTGGGAAAGGAGAAGTGAAAAGAGGCTGGTGATTAACAAAACAAACAAGCAGAGTGTACAAAAGTAAATCAATTAACAGCTAAATTAATTAACAGCTAAAAATTGCGCAGTCCACGGTAAGATAATTATTTTTCCTTAGCCATAACATCAGGATCATAAAAACACACCATTTACTGTCATTTGTAATTCCCCTTTGCTGATAGCATTTCACCAGAATGTTGATATGAATGACTTGACATAGAAAGGCACAGGAATGTAGACTAAAAGCTGTTAAGTAATGACTACTATCAACAAGCAAGGTAATAAACATTTTATGAGTGGGTAAACATGAGTGTGAGGTTGAAGCAAAGAAATTGATTTTTTCTTTTGTTAGTAAAAGGGGAAAGGTTATCTTCGTCAAAATAAAGAGCACAGATTGT